TGCTATAAAGCAAGGCATGATTATATTTACCACGCAGCATGACTGTGATGATTAAAATATGTGACATGCATACATCGAGCACCTAAACATTAATAATTATTGACAGTTACAACATCCATCCTACTGATTATATGAAATAAATTAACATATATAAATTGACATATATAACATCTTTTGTTTTAAACAAAAGATATCCCTGGAATCTCCTCAAAAGCACCACACTTAATATTAATTTTGATGAGTTTTAGATTATAGATCTAATGCCTATGAATATAATAGTAGGCAACCAAAATAAATCAAAAGTTCAGGAGAATGAAAATAACACAGAGTATTATTTTCAATTCTCAGGTACACCACTCACTAGCCATGTAACTATGAATAAGTAACAACCTCTCTGAACTTATACCTTATATAAAAAGCATAGAAACATCTTCTTTGTAGGTAGTTAAAATGACTGAATGAGCTGATGTGTTAAAGGTCTTCCCTCCTACTCTAAACACATAGAAATTGAAGACTTAAAATAAAACAGGCCAGGAGCAATGGCTCACACCTGTCAATTTGGGAGGCCAAGGCAGGAGGATCACTTAAGTTCAAGACCAGGCTGGGCAACATAGCGAGACCTTATGTCTACAAAAAAATAAAAAAAATAGTGTGGTGGCACATGCCTGTAGTCCTAGCTACTCAGGAGGCTGACGTAAAGGATCACGGAGCCCAGGAGTTCAAAATTACAAGAAGTTATGATCATTCCACTGCACTCCAGCTGGGCAACACAGCAAAACCCTGCCTCTTAAAAATAAAAATAAAAATAGAAAAAGCAAAAACCATAGCACGCAAAATCCAAAAAGGAAAAGTTCAAGATGCCAAAAACAAGAAAGGAACCCACAGCACTAAGCTTAGAGTTTGCCACCCATTACACCCTCAATGAAAGGATGTACTTCAAGAAGAAAAATGAGCCCAGAAGAGAAGGCTAAGAGAAGAAAGGGTAAGCAGGATACTGACAGCTTGATATTTTTGTAAGTCTAAGTACTGCCTTTAAATAATTATTATAGTAGCTAATGTGTGTTTTAGCTCTTTCAGGATTTTTTAAAATCCAATCAACAATAACAAAGTATGGGAGAGGTAGCCTGGAAAAAGGCAAAATGTTTGAAAATTCTTTTTTCTTATTCAGAAAAAGGATAAATATATTATCCTTTTGGAAGGATATACTATATGGAATTTACTAGAAAAATAGAAAATTAAGTGGGATATACTTTGCTGGCTGGTGGCAGACAGTGGGAGGGGGTGAGAGGAAGGATGGGGAAGATAGGAGGTGAGAACTCAATAAATGAAAAAGAAGGAAAGAAAAGAGAAAAAAAGTAGTAAAAGAAAAATATGATGAGTAGAAAGAACAAAATAAGAGAGTAGAATTAGGTCAGGCGCAGTGGCTCACGCCTGCAATCCTAGCACTCTGGGAGCCTGAGACAGGTGGATTGCCTGAGCTCAGGAGTTCAAGACCAGCCTGAGCAAGAGTGAGAACCCGTCTCTACTAAAAACAGAAAAACTGAGACAGGATCGTTTGAGCCCAGGAGTTTGAGGTTGCTGTGAACTATGATGATGCCATGGCACTCTACCCAGGGCAACAGTAAAACTCTGTGTCTCAAAAAGAAAAAAAAAGTTCAGAAAAAGTTCTGACCTACATGTCCTAAACAATAAATTGTAAATGCAAAAATCTGCCTATGTTCATGTTAAAGTTTCTTTAAAATTACAAACTCAAATTAGATTCTATAAATCTACTGTAAACAATTATAGTGGTATGTGTCTTTTCTTATTAAATGTTGTATGTGGAAGGTGACAAAAATTTTGACACTATTTTTTTAGAGATTTAAGTTCATAGCAAAATTGAAAGGAAGGTACAGAGCGTTTCTATATTCTATACACCCCTGCCTCCACACGTGCACAGGCTTCCCCAACAGTTATCATTTTAATTCCCAAGGATAAATATTTCATACAGATTCAAAGGCCAAGCCGATTTATTTTCACAAATTTTAACTTCCAGAAATTTAAGTTCTGTTATGAGCCATGATCTATATAATGTTTATAAATGTTGTTGATTATCTGAGCTACAAGGGGCAATGAATATAAATAAATTTAATAATTCTTTACTTTTACTGAACCCATAGAAGGAAAGTGAATTATGAGTATCTGAACCAGGTTTGTATTTGGTCTGCTTTAAATATTTAAAAACAAATTCTGAAGAAGTGATATGGTAACTCAATATTTGCTTTAAATTAATTCAGCTTGCTATTTGTTTGGGGGAAGGTGAAGTTGAAATATGATAGGTAATAAATTGATCATTTTTGAAGCTGGGTGACAGGTCCACAGGGGTCATGATGTTTTTCTGTGTAATTGTATATAAGTTTTAATTTTCCATAATAGTTTAAGTTTAAATAACTCCTAAAACAGTAAGGGGTAAAGATCTTAAAGTAAGTGGCAAATCTGTCAAACTTGTAATTCAAAAATTGAATTGCAAGATCTGCGACAGATTGTGAACCGAGTTTATTTAATGTCAGTCAGCCTGTGACTGCTGAGGTTTTTAAATGGCTCTTGTCATGATTATAATAACAGATACATGTTTCTCATTAGACATGTTAAAACTATCCAAGTTCAGAAATTGAAAAGAATAAGCAACTCATTGAATTAATTAGCATTTGAAATATGAAAATCTTATCTGGAACAAAATTCTTTAAATAAAGATGGGCAGATTTTTCCCTAACGCATGCATGCACAACACACGCTAATGGGTCAGCCTAGTTATGTTACATGGTGATTACAATCACCTACATAATTAAAGCCCTTAAGGCAAGTGCAATATTTAGTGCTCAGAGTCAATGAAATGAACTAGTGGTCAGCAGCCCATTATTTTAAAACCAACGTTCCTAACAAACCACATAGGTTACTTTAAAAAAGGCAGAGGAGGTGGAAAGAAATCTAGTACATAACATTTAGCCAATTATTTATGTAACTCCAAACACAGTATTTCTAGGGTGCTTTAATCCTGAGTTTCAGGGATGAAACACTACCTAGGGACACTAAACGAAGTAAAGAATTTAAAGAGACTAGCGCAGGCCCTGATGTTTTTCTAAACACTTAGCAAGTATCCATTTTTCAGGCTATAAAACAAAATGAGAGGAAGAAAGGATTAAAGAGGCAATCTAGAGCTCAAAGTTGTAATTTACTGGACATGCTATGACATCAGCAATATTTGGGGAGTTTTCCTGAAAAAAATAAATTCTAGAAACTTTGTAAAAGAAGTATGTAAAAATTCAAAATACCTGTAATTCTACTCCCAGCAATAACCAAAGTGGAATGCAGATTGTAACAAAGAGTCTAACTGCATTACAAATGAATCACAACTATACTGACAAGGGCAGGGAAGAAATAAGCTGACCCATTTAACTTGAGAAAAATGTTTTATTATAATCAGATACTGAAGGCTAAAGATAAAGACTGTATTTTAGTTGGTAAAGATGCCTCTCTTAGGGGGATAAGTTAACAATTCTTAAAAATACTTGATATGTATATGAGTCCTGAACAAATAAGTAAATACAGTAGGACTTCTGTAAGTTGGCCACCCAAGGGACTACAAATTGATCAACATGTGGAAGTGGTCAGCATAAGGAACTAGGCATACTGTATTGGTACATATGGTGTATGTCCAGTCAATGAAAAATTAGGTCAACTTAAGGAAGTGGTCAATGTAGGGAGGGAGTTAACTATGGAAGTTCTACTGTATATAACAAATAAGAAAAGTTATAACAAGGCAGATAGTGGGATTCCTCACTACTGGGGGACAGAAATTATATAGGATGAAAAAAATCAACCCTATCGCAGTGGGTTGGAATCAAATGTATAATAGGCTCATGGTTTTAAATACAAAATACATATTAAACTATGTATGTTATATATATGAACATACAAACACACAGATGGAATATAAAAATGAATATATATATGTATGTGTGGGTTTCTCTACTATATATATGTATATATTTTAACTGTGTCTGTTGAAAGAGCCCCAAAATAGTGATGATCTTGGTTTCTAAATACCAATTTCCAATAAAAGGAATCAGGGCTCCTTAAAGATATGTTTGCTTCCAGAACTATGGTACAGAAAATTCAAAATAAGCCTAAAGTAACTGGTAGTACTTGAACAAAAGAATGAGGGCGTGTCAAAAGTGGATAGGAGGCCACGTGCAGGGGCTCACACCTATAATCCCAGCACTCTGGGAGGCCAAGGCAGGAGGATCAATTGAGCTCAGGAATTTGAGACCAGCCTGAACAGAGCAAGACCTGCTCTCTACTGAAAATTGAAAAAAATTAGCTGAGTACTATGGCATGCTCCTATAGTCTCAGCTACTCTGGAGGCTGAGGCAGGAGGATTGCTTGACCTTTGAGCTATGATGATGTCATTGCACTCTAGCCCAGGCAAAAAAGCAAGACTCTGCCTCAGAGGAAAAAAAAAGTACACAGGAGCCAAGCTGAAAATGCCTCTAATAGCCAGTTAGGAAAATTTGAAAAGCAAAATAAATAATGATCTCATTGCAAAATTACCCAAAGAATAGAACAAATACTTATACATCCATACAGGTAATATTAATATATAATGGGATAAATAAATAAGCAAGGGGGAAAGGATGATTCTTCAATATGGAAATAATATACAAATTAATAAATGTAAAAGGAATGAGGGAAATAGAAATCGTATCACAGTGATAATCATCACAGGCAGGATTTACCCATGGATACTAAAAAGTGCATGAATTGAGGTAAAATGAGATATTTACAGCCTCCAACCTTTCTTTCAGCTTTTTTTCTACACAAGGCTCCAATGCTTTTACTTCCCTGGTTGTAGCAACAAAAGCAGGCACTCAAGACCACGTCTACATGAACCCTGAGAACCTATCCTCTCTGAAATGTTCATGTATTGTCTAGGAAGTTAGTAGATTAAATAAAAGCCTTACTTTTCATAGTCCCTTCCTCTTCCTCATCATCTGCATTGATCACCATGGTGCCCAGCTGTGATGGCAACGTGTCATCATGCTCAATCATAGTATTGGCTCCATCACTCATGGTGCTGGCTACTCGGACGGTGCCCATCTCATCACCCACTGCTCGAACCATCGTGCCAGAATCTAATTCATCCTCCTCCTGTAAAACGACAAAACCTCAAGTTGGGACTAAGATTTCTTTCTCTACTAAAGTTTTGCAATATAGATCTAAGAAACTGATGTGAATACCCTGGGAATGGCAAGGTTGTGAGGGCGTCTGTAAGTATAAAAGCTACATGTGGAGTATGGCTCCCAGATTCCCCAAAAGGGCATGAAGAAACTGGGTCTCAGACCTGAGCATTCTCTCTCCAAAATAAAATGTTAAAACTGAATAAAAGATAATGTGGTAAAAGAGTGGAATTTAAGTGTTTTAGGAAGCACTGGGAGAAGAGTGAGCAAAGACCCAGCAAGCCTCTGGCATGCCTTGCTCCAGGTTAGGTCACAGATACTTCAGACTCCCAACTCCAGGCTCATCCATCATCTCCTACTCATCTTACCTAGCCTGGCAATCATGTCATAACAAACATCAATGCCTGAGGCCCATGGCAGTGCCTGCCACTCACTGAGTTTTCTTCATCATCCTGGTCCACTTCCCGCTGCTGGGCTTCCTGGCGTTTCAATTTCACATCCATGGCTTCATTAATTAAGTCTCGCAGTATTGACACTCCTTTGGCACTCTTGACAAATGGGTGCTTAAAAAAGAAGGTGGAAAACACTGGAGACAGTTTATATGACACATAGAGGATACTTGATAACATGTGGAATCAATCAGTAAATCTAATCTTTCTTTTTATGCTTCAGACAATAGCTAAACCACTCACTTTACAACTCTGAGCAGATGCACATTCGAGCTTTGCCCACTTTTTAGCTTGGCTGGAACGCCTATGCCATTTCTCTATCAAATCTAAAAAACATCAATAGGGTGTATCACCTTCTAGACCAGTGATTTTCAACTGATGTGAGGATCTTAGGTATGCCCTAAAAATTTTTCTTTTCTTTTTTTTTTTTTACTTTTTAAAAAATTTCTTTATTTTTTGTTTTTTTATTTCTTTGCTTTATTGCTGTTGTTGTTGTTTTATTCAGAGTCCCACCCTATGCCCTGAGCAGAGTGCAATGGTATCATAGTTCACTGCAACCTCAGACTCAGGCTGTGGGAATCCCAACGACTCAGCCTCTGGAAGCCACTGGAATTATAGGTGCTTGCTGTGGCGCCCAGCTGGGTTTTTTATTTTTAATGAGTCAAGGTCTCACTGTCAATCAGGAAAGTTTCAAACTCCTGAGCTCAAGCAATTCTCCCTCCTCAGCCTCCCACAGTACTGGGATTACAGGAGTGAGCCACCGTGCCCAGCTGCCATGAAAATTTTTAAAGATCATTAATTAAATTATTTTGAAAATTTTTTACCCTTTTCTGATCAACATAATTTAAGTGTGCCACAGAAGTTTAACTATAGGTTCAAGTGAGCCCTGAGACAAAAAGGTTGAAAACATTGCTCTAGACAAAGTTCTGTAAACATGTTGAGAGTACGTTGCAGTTGTCACAACGTCTAGAGAGACAAATGGCATGGAATAGGAGGCAGTGACTCTAGCAATCCTGCAAAATGGGCAGCTGTCCTACAAAGCAATGAACTATGGCACGTTCTGCACAGATTTCAAATGTCTCAGATTGTATGTGCACTCTAAGAGGTAATTTCAAAAATTTTTTTCAAAAGCTACACAAAAGGGCCAGTGTTTGGGGAAGTGATTCTGGAGGAATAGTTTAATGTAATAAAGACATTGTTTAGAAATGATTGAACAGGCTGGGCATGGTGGCTCATGCCTATAATCCTGGTACTCTGGGAGGCTAAAGCCGGAGGATCACTTGAACTCAAGCGTTCCAAACCAGCCTGAGCAAAATCAAGACCAAGGCCCCAGCTCTACTAAAAAGAAAAAAAGTTAGGCCCATATCATGGCATGTGCTTGTAGTTTCAGCCACTGGGAAGGTTGAAGCAGGAGGATGGCTTTAGCCTTCAAGTTTGAGGTTGCAGTGAGCTATGATGACACCACTGCACTCTAGCCAGGGTGACAGAATGAGACTCTATTTCTAAAAAGAGAGAGAAAAAAGAAATCACTGAATAATTCATCTCACTTATTCTGTTCAGTGTCCTATAGCATTTCCATTCCAGAAAACTAATGAGCGCTTTAACACATATATATGTTGGTTATAAAAAGGAAGCACTGGGTCTAAAATGGTTGAAAACCACTGGCTAAGGTACTTATTAAGTCCTTAGCATACTATATGCAATACACATAAAGCATTGCTCCAAGTTGCATGTTATATCACTTAATCACTATACCATATGATGCAGGTACTTTATCCTTACTTTAAGAAACTTAGAAAAACAGACAGGTTAAGTTACTTGTCCAAAGTCACAAAGCTAGTAAATAGGGAGCCAGGATTCAAACCTGGCCAGTATGACTTCAGAATCCAAACTCCTAAACACTGAGCATACTGCCTGCCAAAGCTCGCCCATCCTTCAAGACCCAGGCATAGAAGCTACCTCCTCCAGGAAAGCACTCCTAGCCTCTCCAAAGTGGCCTCCTGCTATCCTGAGCTACAACAGCACTCACCAGTGATCTCAATTCTTGGCAGAACTCGACAGACTTGATGGCACACCTGCTTTGCAATCAGAAAGACCCAGGTTCTAATGTTGGTTCTGCTGTATGCCAGCTGAGTGACCCCAAATGAGTTAACCTCCCTAACCTCCATTTTTCTTGACCATATAACTGTAATAATACCCAGGCTTCACAAGATCTATGTGATAATTACATGGCATAACATGTGCAAAGCATGTGGCACACAGCAAGTGCTCACTAAACATCAATTCCCTTTCTCTAATCCCATACAGCCCTGTAAATTCTTGCACTGCTATCTTGTCCAATGATTTAACATTCTTTTCTACTCAAATACATCCAAAGCACCTCGGAGACAGAGAACGTGTTATATTTCTTTCCTGCTACCTCCAGGTAGGTGGCGTAATAGCATTTTCCGGTCAGCCAGTGCATGAAATGGAGAGAGGCAGCATCGCAGGGTGATTCATACCTGCAGGAGCTGAGTGGCTGTGGCTCTCTGGTCAGGGCTCTTCACAAGACACTGCCTCACAAAATCCGTGAAGTTATCTGACCACAGCTCTGGCTTTCGGAATGTGGGAGGAGGGTTTGTAGGAATCATGAATATTGCCTAGTTAAAATAAATGAAGGAACAAACAAAAAAGATTTGGTAAAATAAAAGTGAAGCTCCAATTAAAAAAAATTTACATCTGGAATTACATTTGAAGCTTGGTAAAATGATTTTTCACTTCCCCAAATCCCAACAAAAGTCTGAGCATTTCAAAGTAGGAAGCATGACAATTAGAGAACCTGATACGCCTCTTTCCCTCTCTCATATGGGGTCTCTGCCCCTAAAGCTCACGTCAATTCAGCGTTCTTCTTTTTTTGCTAACTACTGTAGGCTGCCTTTCAAAGTGGAAAGGTCTGAGTGTCCATATCCTGAAGACAATCTCACCCCTGTAGTTGTCAAGTTTTCTCCTCTTTAAAAGTCACAACCAGGGGGCGGCGCTTGTGACTCAAGGAGTAGGGCACTGGCCCCAGACGCCAGAGGTGGCGGGTTCAAACCCAGCCCCGGCCAAAAACTGCAAAAGAAGAAAAAAAAGTCACAACCAGACACTATGGGAGGCTGAGCGGAAGGATTGCTTGAGCTCAGGAGTTTGAGACTTGTCCGAGCAAAAGTGAAACCCCAACTCATGAAAAAAAGAAAAAGTCAGCTAGGCACCTGTAATCCCAGCAGTTTCGGGAGGTTAAGGCAGCAGGATGCCCACGGCCCGAGTGGGGTCTCACTCTTATCTGAGTGAGATAAGAGTGAGACCCCAACTCATGAAAAAAAGAAAAAAACCAGTGAGCACCTATAATCCCAGCAGTTTCGGAAGGCTAAGGCAGCAGAATGCCCACAGCCCGAGTCTGAGGTTGCAGTGGGCGATGATGCCACTGCACTCTGCTCAGGGCACAGAGTAGAACTCTTACTACAAAAAAAAAAAAAAAGCCAAAGAAAAAATAATCACAACCAGATTGTGCACAGTGCCTCATGTCTATAATCCCAGCACCTTGGGAGATTGAGGTAGGAGGACTGCTTGAGACCAGGAGTTTGAGACCAGCCTGGGCAACATAGGAAGACCTCCATCTCTATAAAATAAAAAAAAATTTTTTTGAATATTAAAAAAGTACAAAAAAATTCACAACCACTCCCAGGTGTCAGCAGTGATGAGGTCATCAACCAGAAATCCCCCCCAAATCATCAGGTAGTCATTAATCTCCAAAGCCAAGCCAAACCAACAACAAAAAAAAATTTGTGACTGGCTTACTGTATTACAGTTAAATTTTCGTATTTCAAAAAAATAAGACTATTACTTATGGCATTTCTAATAAAAAGAAACATGGTTTTTGTAAAAAATTTTTTTCTTTTTTCAGGATAACAGAGATTTTATTTAGGAAGAACAGAGAAAGTTTGGAGTACTTACAATGAGAAAGTTTAGAGCACTTCCAAAGAGAGTTGAAGTAGGTCCCTCTACAATGCAACTCTTTACAATAAGCAGCTTAAATTATATTCTTTATACCTACACATATAACCAGTAAATCTCTACTCTCTCCCCTCCAAAAAGATGGGGAGCACATGAATACTTTCAAGAAACTGTTAAGTCTTTTAGTAGGAGAACTAATTAATCAGAGAAGAGGAGGAGCTAGGGTTAGGAGGGATGGAGAGGACTGTGGGGCCCCTGAGGAAGGCAAGGTGGGTGGCCTTACAGCAGTGCTGTGATGAGGGCCTCCATGGGCAGGTAAAGCCTGAGCACCCTTTATAGTGCCAATACTGAGGAAGTTTCACTGGAGATGCAGACCATGGGCCCTTAACACATCTAGAAGTTGATGGAGATTGGAGAGCACAGAGCCTCCAGATGAAGAGTCTGGGGATCCACAAACCAGAACCTACAGATTCAGATACCTATAGGACGGGTGGGCATGGTGGCTCATGCCTGTAATCCTACACCCTGGGAGGCTGAGGCAGGTGGATTGTCTCAGCTCAGGAGTTCAAGACCAGCCTGAGAAAGAACAAGACTCTGTCTCTAAAAATAGCCAGGTGTTGCAGGCACCTACAGTCCCAGCTACTTTAGAGGCTGAGACAAGGGATCACCTGAGCCCTGTAATATGAGGTTGCCATGAGCTATGACCCCATGGCACTCTACCAAGGGCAAGAAAATGAGACCCTGTCTTAAAAAAAAATCAAAAACCTATAGCAACTAGGCAGAAAAAAGAAAACCAACAAACCAGTTGGCTTTTAGTAACTTGAGTTCAAAAACAATAGTTTGCTTTCCTTTTAAGACTATTATAAGGAAAATATTAGAGAAAACAGTGTAATAAGTGGCAAGTGACACTTAATGACACAATGGGGAATCATAGATAAAGTGGAAAGCTCAGGCCCTACATAAAAGAGACAACTGCTACTCAGCTCCAGCTATTGCCATGTTAAAACATGATGCCTAAGGCAGTCACTGTAGTTCAGTGGGTAGGGTGAGGACCACATACACCAGGCTGGTGATTTGAACCCAGTCTGGGCCAGCTAAAACAACAATGACAACTGCAACAACAACCCAAAAAAAAAAAAAAAAGCCAGGCGTTGTGGTGGGCGCCTGCAGTCCCAGGTACTTGGGAGGCTGAGGCAAGAGAACTGCTTAAGCCCAAGAGTTTGAGGTTGCTGTGAGCTGTGACACCACAGCACTCTACTGAAGGCAACAAAGTGAGACTCTATCTCAAAAAAAAAAACCACACGATGCCTCAACTACTAAAAGTATGTGTGTGTGTTGCACAAGTCAAACATTTCTATGGCCTACGTCCTGCCAGAGGGCTATCACTATAAATCCCTGGACCACAGAGGGGTAGATCAGACTTATATTAACTAGTGACTACAACAAGAGTCAGCGGAAACGTATCATCTACAGTGATACCACTTACCTACAATTCATTCATTTATTACTGAAATCTAAGCAAGTAAGCCAAAGAACTAACTTTCTAATGATGATCTGTAACTAAACATTCCAATGGCTTTCTGTCCATTTCCTTACCCTCATTGGGTGGATATCAGCATATGGGGGTTTCCCTTCAGCCATTTCTATGGCAGTTATTCCCAGAGACCAGATGTCTGCTACACAGTTGTACCCAATTTCCTGAATCACTTCTGGAGCCATCCAAAATGGTGTTCCTATCACTGTATTCCGCTTGGCCATGGTATCCTAAAACAGGAAGGGGAGAGACCAGCACTAACCTTTAAAACTACTAGGAAAATGAGAATTTTCAACAATAAAACATGCCTTGTACTTGAAATACACATAAAAACTATATTAAAGGGATAATCAAGAAAGTCATAGAAGAAATCTGAATGACCAAGAAACACAAAAAGATTCTCAATTATTAAAACAGAAAGCAAGATTGATAAAATTTCTTTAATAACCAGTAAGATAATAGCATAGGAAATCATGCTGAAATCCAATGTTACTGCAGTAAAAATTGGTATAAGTTTTTAGCAGGCAAATTAGCAACATTTGATAGACTTCCAAATGTCTATATTCTTTGATCCAAATATTTCTAGAAATTTATCTTATGTGCAAGTCCTAGAACACACATGCATGAGGATTGCAAAAATATTTGTAGTGAGGGGGGAGAAAAGGGAAGCAACTCAAATGACCACCAAAAGGCACTAAGTTAATATAACAACAGACACTGAAACAGCACATTAAAAAGAAAAGAGGCCAGTTGTGGTGTCCCAGCACTGTGGGAGGGTGAGGGGGGTGGATTGCCTGAGCTCAGAGGTTAGAGACCAGCATAAGAAGACCAGTATGAGCCGGAGTGAGACCCCCGTCTCTACAAAAAAAAAAAGAAAGAAAGCTGGGCGTTGTGGCGGGCGCCTGTAATCCCAGCTACTTGGGAGGCAAAGAGTAAGAGAATTGCTAAAGGAAGAAAGAAAAATAAAATTAAAAAAAAAAAAAACCCCTTCATACTAACATGAGTGAAAGCTAGCTAAAATTGAAAGCAAAAATAAAAAGAAAAGAAAAAGAAGATACATACACCTTTATCCAGCATGTAAAAAATGTACAAGAGGGCCAGGTGCGATGGTTCACACCTGTAATCCTAGCACTCTGGGAGGCCAAGGCGGGTAGATAGCTTGAGCTCAGGAGTTTGAGACCAGCCTGAACAAGAGTGAGACCCCACCTCTAAAAAAAATCTGGGTGTTGTGGTGGGTGCTTATAGTCCCAGCACTTGGGAGGTTGAAGCAAGAGGATTGCTTGAGCCCAGGAGTTTGAGGTTGCTGTTGAGTTATGACAGCGTGGCACTCTACCGGGGCAAGAAGTGAGACTCTGTTTCAAAAAAAAAAAAAAAAAGTACAAGAGATATTTTAAAGAAAAAAAAATTACATTAGAAAATGTATAATATGGCACTATAATATGGCACTGCTTTTGTAAAAGGAAAACACATATAAAAATGACCATGACAATAATAAAATAATAACCAATAATAAGAAACGCTGTTAGATCATAGCAAAGAATATTTGGGACAATATATCCCAACTATTTATGACAGTTATATCTAGAAGGCAGAATCACTAAAAATGTTTACTTTTCCTATCTTGTATATTTCTATAATATTCTGATGGCTTATATAAGCCTATCTTACATATGTTATCAGATATATTTTTATAGGTATATAAAAATGATATTTAAAAAGTCTTAGTTTGGGAATTAAAGAAGAATATGTGGATACAGTACACACTATGTCAAACAACCACCTGCACAGTTTCCTAAAATGGCAGGGCCCTACTAAAAGAGAACTTTCCTACAGTTCCTGTACAGTAAGAAGAGGATTTTTAAACAGAACTAAATATGCAAAAAAAACTTCTCATCATCATTGTGAATGCTCCCTCTGAAATATCTATAACTTAGATTATGCCAGTCAGGAGCAAATAGCAGGTAATACTTTTAAATTGATATTACTCTGTCAGTCATATGTAAAAAATTACACAGGAACTAACTTATGCTTAGTCATTTCCTCAACTCTAAACATTCTAAGTTGCAGGGATATTTTCAAATGGTGGTAGTCAAAAACTGTTTTCACTGGATTATTTCAATTAGAAATGGCTACCTGGAAGGCTAAATGTTTTTTTAATTAATAAAGTAATAAGTAGACAATAACCCCAACTTGATGTATGTTACAAAGTTATATTAGTACAACAGCATAGCAACAAAAAATATGAAGTCCAGAAACAGACAGGCCTATGTACATACACATACAGTCATTTATATATGCCACATTCATTAAAATGTCATTCAAAAGCAGAAGACAGATTCTGCAAAACAAACAAACAAAAACTACTGAGCATCTATCTAGTCATTTGTAAAACCACACTTAAATTTTTACCTCGTGTGGCACCTGTGGCTTAGTGGGTAGGGCGCTGGCCCCATATACTAAGGGCGGTGGATTCGAACACGGCCCCAGCCAAGCTGCAACAAAAAATAGCCAGCCATTGTGGCAGGCGCCTGTGGTCTCAGCTACTCAAGAGGCTGAGGCAAGAGAATAGCCTAAGCCCAGGAGCTGGAGGTTGCTGTGACACCACAGCACTCTACTGAGGGTGACAAAGTGAGACTTTGTCTCAGAAAAAAAGGGGCGGTGCCTGTGGCTCAAAGAAGTAGGGCACCAGCCCCATATGCCAGAGGTGGCAGGTTCAAACCCAGCCCTGGCCAAATACTGCAAAAAAAAAAAAAAAAAATTTTTTTTTACCTCATACTTTCACCAAAATAATTTCAAACAGGTTGAAACTTTAAATGTAAAAAATAAAACCTGGCCAGGCACAGTGGCTCACACCTGTAATCCCAGAACTCTGGGAAGCTGAAATAGGTGAATCTCCTGAGGCCAGGGGTTCATTCAAGACCAGCCTGGACAACACATCAAGACCCTATTTCTACAAAAAATGTTCTTAGAAATTTAGCCAGTTGTTGTGTTCTCACCTAGCAGGTATAATGTAGGGGTAAATGGCACAAATCCTCGGTGAGGGGCACAACTACAACCTGGATGCTACAGAACAAATGCAAACAAGGTAACCTAATCATCTGTACCCTCATATTACTTTGGGACAAAAAAAAATCAGTTGGGCATGGTGGCACATGCCTGTAGTCCCAGCTACTGGGGAGGCTGAGGTGAGAGAATTGCTTGAGCTCAGAAGTCTGAGGTTGCTGTGAGCTGTGATCAAGCAATCCGCTCCATTCTGGGTGACACTACAGAGCAAGACCCTGTCTCTCCAAAAAGCAAACAAAAAAAACTATGAATTAAAAAAAAATTTTTAAACCACAAGAGAGTGCTAAAAAAGAAAGCATAGGGCGGCGCCTGTGGCTCATTGAGTAGGGCACCGGCCCCATATACCAAGGGTGGAAGGTTCAAACCTGGCCCCACCCAAACAAAATAGCTGGGCATTGTGGTGGGCACCTACAGTCCCAGCTACTCAGGAGGCTGAGGGAAGAGAATCACCTAAGCCCAGGAGTTGGAGGTTGCTGTGAGCTGTGTGACACCATGGCATTCTACCGAGGGTGATAAAGTGAAACTCTGTCTCTAATAAAAAAAACAAAAAAACAAAAAAAGAAAGCATAGATGAATAGTTTTATAATGCTGGACTAGGAAAAGACGTTATATGCATGACATCAATGACAGAAACCATTAAATAAAAGGTAGACAGATTTGTTCTATATAAAATTTGGAAACTTTTGTAGTATTTTTTAAAAAATCAAAATTAAAAGACAACTAACAAATTAGGAAAAGATACTTCAACATAAATAACAAAGGATTAATAATTTTAACATTTTTTTTTCAGTTCTGGTTTATCTTTTTTAACAGATTTTGTTAAAGGTCCAACACTCAATTAGAAAAACTAACATGGCTCACTGGTTCAAGGACAGCCTGAGCCAGAGTGAGACCTCATCTCTAAAAATAGCCAGGCGTTGTGGCAAGTGCCTGTAGTCCCAGCTACTTGGGAGGCTGAGGCAAGAGAATGGCTTAAGCCCAAGAGTTTGAGGTTGCTGTGAGCTACACTGCTATGGCACCCTACCGAGGGCAACAAAGTGAGACTCCATCTCAAAAAAAAAGAAAGACAAATAAGATGAAAAGTTCATTTACAAAAGAATAAATAAATGGCCAACAATCAAATGTAAAAAATATTTTAATTGTTTTCAAATGGCAAGGAAAATACAATTTGTTATGCATCCAGTATTGGCATTATAAGAGCTCATTTACACGCTGCAGTTGAAAGCAGAAATCATTCCCTTCTAAGAAGCACCTTGGCAATATGCATCAAAGGCTCAAAATTGCATGTATTTCCTAACCCAGTTCCAATGTAATTACCTTAAAAAAATTTTTTTATAAATAAATGAAGTAATCATTCTACAGAAATACTACTTAAGGAAATGTTGAAAAGTTCAGATGTAAAAATGTTTACCACAAAGTTTATGTTCATGGATGGCAGGAAAACTATAAGCAACCTAAACAGGTGTCCAATGTCCAATTATAGGAAATAAGTTAAGAAATCATGATAATCCATAAAATGAAATACCTGATACCATCAGAAATAATATTACAGATTTCTGGGCAAGGATGACATTGACCAAGTACATTTTACTTTTCCTCCCTCTGGGCTGGGCATGATGTCTCATGCCTGTAATCCTAGCACTCTGGGAGGCCAAGGAGGGAGGATTCCTTGAGCTCAGAAGTTCAAGGCCAGTCTAAGCAAGAGTGAGATCCCTGTCTCTACTTAAAAAAAAAAAAAAAAAATCAGCTGAGTATGGTGGTGGGTGCCTACAGTCCAGCTACTCAGGAGGCTGAGGCAGGAATTTGAGGTTGCTGTGAGCTAGGCTGATGCCACAGCACTCTAGCCTGGGAGACAAGAGTGAAACTCTGTCTCAAAAATAAATAAATAAATAAATAAATATCCTTTTCCTCCCCCTAACATGATTTTTTTTTAAGGAACAAATCCACAAGAACAAAAGGAAGAAACCAGAGACAAGGGGTCACATGGTATATGATTCTATTTATATGAAATATTAAGAATAGGTAAATCTATAGAGACAAAAGGTAGATTAGAAGTTACTGGAGCTGGAAAGAAGACAGGACGGGGAGTGACTACTAAAGGGTTCAGTGTTATTTTGGAGATGATGAAACTGTTCTGGAATTAGGAAGTCTTGATAGCTGCAGAGTATCGTGAATACACTAAAAATACCGAACTGCACACATTAAAAGGGAAGAAAAATTCTGCAAGCATTATAGCAATAAGAACATCATAAGTAATTTTAGTAATTATAGTAATGAGAACATCATAAGTAACCAACCAACCACTAAAATTATAACTAAACCTAATGGACATTTTTAACATTATATTTTTCGTACCCCATAAGAGGATGTAGTTTTCAATGTAATTTCCTTATTAAGATTGTAGTTAAGACAACATTGGTACTGTTTACTTACTGTGCTACCAACAAAATCTTTCAAGGAGCGTGAAATCATAATACTGAATAAGCTTCTGATTTTTTTAAAAATATCAAAGCAATTTCTGTGCTGTTATAGTACCTGTGAGATTCCCTAACATGTCCTAGATAGATTTATAATGAAAAATTAAAATTTTTCATAATACCAATTCTAAACAAATTATATATTCATTCTCCCACGCATGTAAAAAACCATTTGCTATGTAATACTGTTGCAAATCTTAGAGTGTACCTGTTCAGACCCGTTGCTATATATACTTTCACGTTATCTTATGTATTTTATAAAATCAGATAATTCTAGACTTCCTGTTTTGAAAACATGGGTTTTTTTTTCCTCTTTTCACTGTGGTGTGCCAGCAAGGTAGAAGTAAGAAACTATAGAATCAAGAGACTATATTCTAGACCTAAACGAGAGTGTTTCCAGCACAGTAACTATCAAGTATTACCTGGAAGGTGAATGAGATGATGTTCTATCTCATTCAAGGAAACTTTTCTTCCATAAAAAATATGCTAATATAGTCCAATAGAGTAGAGTACTCTATCATTTCTTATTTTAGTTTTCATCTTTATAAAAATTTAAAAAAGTTAAACTATGTAACCTGGATCCCAGGAAAGGATCTAAAACAGTGGTTCTCAACCTTCCTAAGGCTGCAGCCCTTTAATACAGTTCCCACCCACAGGTTGAGATCTGCTGATTTAAAACAACCTACTAGCTCTTCTGTCACCTACTGGGAGGTTCTACAGTTTCTTTTATGACCAGAGTATTATATTTTTAAAAAAGATAAACAAAAGGAATTGCTCCTCAGTCAGGACAGAAATGAAAGTTATCAATACAAGTAACATTTTTACTTACTGTAAGTTGACCTGCCACCCCAAAATCTGCAAGCTTTGCATGTCCTTCTGTATTTAGCAAAATATTTCCTGCCTTGATATCTCGATGTATTTTTCTCATAAAATGAAGGTATTCTAGTCCCTTAAGAGTTGACTGCAATATTGTAGCTATTTCATCTTCTGTTAACTGAAAGAAGAATAAGAAGCTCATATTCTACCAGTTTATATCAACACAATAGGAAAAGGAGGAAAACACTAGATCCAAACCCCTTTCTTTTTTTTTTTTTTTTGCAGTTTTTGGCCAGGGCTGGGCTTGAACCCACCACCTCTGGCATATGGGGTCAGCACCCTACTCCTCTGAGCCTCAGGTGCCGTCCCAAACCCCTTTCTTAAATATAAATAGATTTTATTCAACCTGTCAATAGCAATTGACTGCTTATACCATCGATACACTGACCACTCCCTAAGTTCTATTTCCAGACCAGATCTCCCCCAGTCAGATTCATATATTCGCCCACACAACATCTCCAACTGAATAGCTAACAAGCATCATAAGCATAACACGTCAAAATCAAATTGTTTATTTCAACCATCCTACCCGTCCAACATCCTCTGCTCTTCCCACAGGCTTCCCTCTCTTAATAAAAGCCAACTTTATTCTTTCAGTTGCTCTGGCCAAAAACCTTGACTCTTCTCTATCTTTTAAGTATATGTCCTCTGTAACCACCCTGGTCCAAGATGCCATCATATCCTGCCTGAACTATTCTAATAATCTTCCAACTGGTTTCACTGCACCTACCCTTGACTCTCCACAATGTATTTTCCACATAGCAGCCCCCATAAACTTTTTAAAATGTAAGCCAGATCTGCTCAAAACCTTCCTGAGTCACTTAAAAGCCAGTCCTCACCAAGGCCTTACACATAATCTGGCTCCCAGCTACCTAGTACCGGGCTAATTTCATCTTCTGCCACTCTCTACCCTGCTCATTCTGTCTCAGCCATGCGGGCTTCCTTGCTATCCTTGGACACCCCTAAGCACACTCCCCTTTCTGGGTCTTTCCACTGGCCTGGTCTTTATGCCTACAATGCTGCTCTTCATCCACCACGTCTTTACAATTTGATTTCTTACTTTGCTGTCTATACCCAAATGTCACCGCCTCAGAAATTCAGAGTGGCCTTCCCTGCTCCATTTCTAGATCAATCTCTGTCCTTTATCTCCTTTTATTTGTCACTGCAGCATTATCACCAACTGACATATTACAAATCATTTATATACTTATTTATGTGAAATCCTCCCTGTTAGAAACTGAGCTCCGTTAAAAATGTCTTTGATTCATTTACTTTTATATACCTAACACCAATAAAACCACCTGGCACATGGTAGGTGCTAAAAAAATTTGCACATATCAAATTAATATTTGATGCCTATTTGTGTTTGATTAGGCTGATACACTAACTCTGAATAATGTAAACAAAGAAAAGCAGATAGGATATGGATACCCCAAAAGTCATAACTGAGTTTCAAAACGCCACATTGTATATTTTGCATAATAAATACCTCACAATTTACAAAGCACATTTACCTATTTAAATTAATTTTCACAACTTTTATATACATAATACGGGTATCATTATTCTTATTTTTCTTATCAAGACAAAAAAACCTAAGCACTAAGATTTCCCCTAGTCCTGCTCTCACCCACACACAATCTACACAAGAGCTAGAGTTTCCTTTTTAAAACATTTATCAGATGATTCTTATACTTGCTTAGAATCCAACAATGGTTTCCTATCTTCCCTGGAACAAAATCTAAACTCATTCCCATGGCCTACAATACCCAACATCATCTAGCCCTGACATGAGAGAGTAAAGAGGGGAAAGAATCATGAGGTCTAAACTGGGGCAGAGGAAATCCGACAGACATCTCTGTAAAGAGATGGTAGCAGGAGAATGCACATGAATAACAGGCCGAAGAAAAGAGATGGCCTAAGAGACCAGCTCAGCTGCACTGTTCTAGTAGGTAAACTTACCGTTTTATTTCGTAATCGAATGATATCAGACACAGAACCAGCCCCACAATACTCCATGACAATCCACAAGTCTGTATTCTTAAAATAACTGCCATAATATTTGACAACATGTGGGCTAGAGAGAAAGTAAGAGACAATATAAATTAAAAGAAACCGCCTTAAAACATCTCTATTCATGCTATTAAATATATAAAAATTAATCCCTTATCTCAAAAGATCAATGATTCATTGTTAAGGTTAAAATGGGCAACCTCCTGATTGGAATATACAAAGGTATAGCTTTTCTAGAGGGTAATAGATAACAAAAGGGTAAAAAATAGGTGGGTCCTTTAACCAGCATTTCTAAGTCTACAATTTACCCCCAGAAAAGAATTATAAGTACTCAGAAACAGTTACCATCACAGTTCTGTTGATAAAAGTCCCAATTTAGATACCATCTAAAGGGCCAGTTAACATCAGGAACTTTATTTAAGAAATAAAAATAAAGCCATGTGGCTCATGCCTATAATCCTAGCCCTCTGGAGGCCAAGGTGGGTGGATCACTTAAGCTCAGGAGTTCAAGACCAGCCTGAGCAAGTGCAAGACCCCATCTCTAAAAACAGCCAGGAGTCGTGGCTACTCAGGAAGCTGAGACATGAGAATCGCTTCAGCCCAAGAGTTTGAAGTTGCTATGAGCTATGGATGCCATGGTACTCTATCAAAGGTGGTAAAGTGAGACTCTGCCCCCTCCCCAAAAAAATATATAGCCATGTTGGGCAGCGCCTGTGGCTTAAAGGAGTAGGGCGCTGGCCCCATATACCGGAGATGATGGGTTCAAATCCGGCTCCAGCCAAAAACTGCAAAAAAAAATATATATATACATCCATGTAATGGACTATCATGGACCCATGAAAAATGTTATAAAGGGATATTTAATAACATAAGGAGACAGCCTGTTCACATAAAAAGAAAAACAAGCTACAAAATAGTAAGCAAAGTAAAACTCCAAAAAGAGATAAGGAAAGGTCCCCTTTTCTCCCCAGGGAAAAGCAGTGTTTTTCTTTTCATCTACATTTTTCTAAGAAGTCACACATAGCTTATAGAAAAATACACACACACACACACACACACAATGATCTAGTATAAAGAAAAAATGTTCATGATTAGACCTGGAATTTTAGGTCTCAAGGTTGAGGAGAGATAATAAACCTAAAATTTCAGAGAAAAATCAAATATCCCATCAAAATGAAATAATCTTCCTGCCCTCTATGAGGTACCAGTTTTATCTGGTTAGATAGTTATCAAGGCCAAATAAAGTTGCATAACAGCTGAAAAAGCTAAAACTAAATCCACTTCACTCTCAGTATTTCAAACATCCCTCCATTCTTGGGGAAAATGCCAAAGACAAGAACAGAAAGAAAACACACACACACACACACACAGAGAAAGTTAATGGAGAAATGGATGAGTAAATCTCTAAGGTAAAGATCACTATATCTGTTCTCCGTTCCCTAAAATCCTGTAGTACAGTATTTACAGGAATTAAATCTGCAGGCAATTACTATCACGTATTTAATGTTGGAATATGTTCTATGTAGTCCTGCATTGCTGGCTAGATTTTCCTGTACATGTATATGCCTAGCCTATCCAGGTAGTCTAAAAACTCCCAGCGCACAAGAACTCTGTTCTGCATTTCATTGTACTCCTTAGAGTGCTTAGTACAGACGAGGCTCCTCAAAATATCTCTTCTTTACTTAGTCTCTAAGTCTTATAGACAAATCTACAACCTGTTTGGACACAGCTCCTGTGTAGTCTATCAAAACTGGCTAAGTTGGCTCGGCGCCGGTAGCACAGTAGTTATAGCACCAGCCACATACACCCAGGCTGCCAGGTTTGAACCCGGCCTGGGCCAGCTAAACAATGACAACTGCAACAAAAAAATAGTCGGGCATTATGGCAGGTGCCTGTAGTCCTAACTACTTGGCAGGCTGAGGCAAGACAATCGCTTAAGCCCAGGAGTTTGAGGTTGCTGTGAGCTGTGATGTCACTCTATTGAGGGCGACATAGTGAGACTCTGTCTCAAAAAAAAAAAAAAAAAAAGTGGCTAGTTCCCAATTTGCCAACTGGAAAGAACTTCTGTAATGTACCTTATAGAGGAAGAAAAGGAAAACTGCCACCTTAATCTGGTCAATCCTAATCAAGAAAAATGGGAGTTTCATCTAATAGATAATAACCATACAAACAAAGAAAAAAAGGGGGGAAGAAGAGAGGGAAGGAGAAGAGAAATGGCTGCAGTCACAAGTCTGTGAGACTTAAGGGCTCCTGGACAAATTTCCTGCTAGGTAGCCCTACCTGCCCCAATATATTCTTTTTTTTTTTTTTTTTTTAGACGGAGCCTCAAGCTATCCCCCTGGGTAGAGTGCCATGGCATCACGCTCACAGCAACCTCCAACTCCTGGG